ACATCTGGTCACCCTACTTGTTAAGGATAGCTTCTGACTGTTTGGGTTTAGAGGGGGTACTTGGATTCATTAGCAGACCTGTCCAAGAAACTGCTTTTTGTGTTCTTCTGGCCTTTAAATCGTGTCATCTCTCTGGAGCTTTTGGAAAGATGTCACTGAATATTGAGTCTTCTTGCATTCTTTTAAAAAAAAATTTGTCTAATTATTACTTTTATTGTCATGCTTCTAGATCTCAGTCAGATTTCAGACCCTTATTTCTTTTAAAGGCTAAGGTGGCACATAATGTGTCAGTTGTTCCTTTCATTCATCCATTGGCAGGGTCAGACATTTTCAAAGCTTTTCAAAATTCCGTAGGGATGACCCTTGACTGTGTTTTATTTCCTCAGTTCCCTGTTAATGTAGCCTCTTTATCAGGGGTCGTCTTATCATTTCTGCAAACTCAGTGGAGCGCTTGTTGCTGTAGACTGACAGGCTCTTCCTGTCTTTCTATATTGAAATCTGTTATAGAGTTAGAGGCCTTACCTCATACCTTCCTGGATTTTTGTCTCTGGTCGCCTTCAGCCTCCTTTGTAAACATTCTTATTCACAGTGTCTCCCATTGTCAGTAGTAGTTCATTCTTGTTCCTTTTTAAGAGAATTACAAGCTGTAGTCACCTTTTTGGTCACTCAAGTGTTGCCTGTCTGATCCAACTGGTGATGTATATAGTGTCAAAATGTAATTTGAAGGTAAAAAATCTTCATTTCTTATTGATCAAGATAACATTTTCTTTGGTCTTATTGATCAAGATAACAGATATCTTTATTCACTCTTATTTTGTATACTTTTGGTCCTTAGTGAATGTTTCTGTTTGTAGGTAAACTAACAGGATGTGGAGCAACAAATCGAAGGAGGTGCCTTTACAAAACCCAAGGCACACTCCGAACAGGGATTCCCTCAGAGGTATGGATTTGCTTTGTTGTATCGCTTTTCTTTAGAAGCAGTTTTATCCTAGATAGTGTAATATTTTGTATTGTATTGTAAATTTTGTAGATATAATTTGTCTTAATTGAGTCAAAGGCTAAAGCCATATCTTACATAAGAACGGCCATACTGGGTCAGACCAAAGGTCCATCTAGCCCAGTATCCTATCTACCGACAGTGGCCAATGCCAGGTGCCCCAGAGGGAGTGAACCTAACAGTGATCTCTCTCCTGCCATCCATCTCCACGCTCTGGCAAACAGAGGCTAGGGACACCATTCCTTACCCATCCTGGCTAATAGCCATTAATGGACTTAACCTTCATGAATTTATCCAGTTCTCTTTTAAACTCTGTTATAGTCCTAGCCTTCACAACCTCCTCAGGTAAGGAGTTCCACAAGTTGACTGTGCGCTGTGTGAAGAACTTCCTTTTAAACCTGCTGCCCATTAATTTCATTTGGTGGCCCCTAGTTCTTGTATTATGGGAACAAGTAAATAAATTTTCCTTATTTACTTTCTCCACATCACTCATGATTTTATATACCTCTATCATATCCCCCCTTAGTCTCCTCTTTTCCAAGCTGAAAAGTCCTAGCCTCTTTAATCTCTCCTCATATGGGACCCGTTCCAAACCCCTAATCATTTTAGTTGCCCTTCTCTGAACCTTTTCTAATGTCAGTATATCTTTTTTGAGATGAGACCACATCTGTACGCAGTATTCAAGATGTGGGCGTACCATGGATTTATATAAGGGCAATAAGATACTCTCCGTCTTATTCTCTATCCCCTTTTTAATGATTCCTAACATCCTGTTTGCTTTTTTGACCGCCGCTGCACACTGCGTGGACGTCTTCAGAGAACTATCCATGATGACTTCAAGATCTTTTTCCTGATTCATTGTAGCTAAATTAGCCCCCATCATATTGTATGTATAGTTGGCGTTATTTTTTCCAATGTGCATTACTTCACATTTATCCACATTAAATTTATTTGCCATTTTGTCACCCAATCACTTAGTTTTGTGAGATCTTTTTGAAGTTCTTCACAGTCTGCTTTGGTCTTAACTATCTTGAGCAGTTTAGTATCATCTGCAAACTTTGCCACCTCACTTTTTACCCCTTTCTCCAGCTCATTTATGAATAAGATGTAATAAGAAACTCAGCTTCACTTATGTAACTCTTGTTAACTTTGATTTTTTTTTTAAAAAAAAACATAGTTTTTAAAGAAAATCATAATATTGCATTGCTATGTTCTAATGACGCTGTCTAATAATTACCCCACACACAAGAGTTTCATAGTTTGGGATGAATTCATTAAAAGGAATTAGTTAGTGAGCCATGCAAAACTGTTTTAAAATGTTTTGTTTCATTGTGTTACTTGAATTAATAGGAAACTTGTTTTTATTCTTTTATTTTTGTTTTGTGAGATCTAACCACAGCCTGGGATACTTTTTCTCAAACTAAGGCTACAGTAAGTATAATTTTTTCTAGATTGAAATCAGTTAATGGCCACTGCAGTTTTATTGAATGCCTTATTTTCCCCATAGTTTGATGATTATAAAAGTAAAAAATAGGGTAGGTGGTTGGGGGCATGAAGATGATGGATGTTCTTATTGCTTTGGACCGCAATTCTGACAATGTAACTTAGTGCTACAAGAAGCTCAGTACCAAGGTTAATGAAAAATCAGTCTTGCTTGGCTACTATAAAACTAACACTGTTATCAATGAATAGTATTGTTTATGTCAGTCAGAATGGTATAACGAATGTATGGGTAACTTGTGTTAAATATTTTTGTAATTTCTTTAATTATTGCATAAAAGATGTAAATGTTAACTAGAATCTTGTGATATCTTTACAGTGAAGATTTTAACTAATATTAAATATTTATTTATTTATTTATATTATTATAGTGCCTAGGAACCCCAGTCATCGGCCAGGACCCCCTGGTGTTAGGCACTGTACACAAACAGAACAAAAAGACAGTCCATTCCCCAAAGAATTTACAACCCCAAAAAGCACATAAGCTGCCAACTGGTAGCTCTGTAGTAATCCTGGGCCTCCAAATTGCATGTCAGCTTTCACCAAACTGGATATTATAAAGAATCTTGCTCCTGAAAACCTTAGTTAGGGCTAGTAAATATCAAGGCCAAGGTTTTTCAAAAGTGACTAGTGATTTTGGGTGCCTAATTTTGGCACTTTAAAGGATACTGGTTTTCAGAAAGTAATGAATGCCCATCCTCTGAAAATCCAGATCCCTTTACAATGTCAAAGTTGAGCACTCAAAGTCACTGCTTACGTTTGAAAATCTCCCAAATCCCTGCAGGTGTGAGCTGTAGAGTGAGATACCTCTATTCATCATTTTAAAGGAACTAACTGTCCTCTCCTTACCTACTGAGATTCAGAGATTGGGGCTGCTGAAGCAATATACATATGTTTCATAGTTCCATACGTACTGCACCAACCATAGAATTACTACCATGATGTGTGAATTTAAGCTATATACTCATGATGCAATGCTACATTTTCTATAAACTGGGGTACAGTGATATCAAGATGCTAAATTTCTTTGGCAACTTAGGGAATTTCTCTGTATGTTCATTACCCCTCTCATTTTTAATAGCTGAGTGAAGGGGTACAGTTTTATATGTGGAATCCTATTTCATGTTACCTCTAGAGTAGAGCATTATAGAATACAGTGTGTTTTCGTTCTTAGTGGTTATGTTTCAATGAGGCCAAGTGTTAAGACCTTTGGCATTTTGTATAATTCTGTTGTTGGCAATGACCCACTTATGGAAACAGATTTAGTGAACAGAACTTAATTTGAATAATCTTTTTTGTACTAATCTTCATAATCTAATGTTTCTGGTCACAAGACTATACAAGTTTATACCACCAGACTTTTAAAGCTGTTCTTGCCTGTAATTGTTTCTTACTATGAAAGTGAGAGGAGTTCTGAACTTTTTTTTAAAGTTGTATTCTTGACATTCAAAAAATGAACCTGAATATTGTTTTGTGTCTTGAAATTCTAGTTGCGTCATATTGAGAATAAACTGGAGGTAGCGCCTACCAGCACAGCAGTGTTTGATTCTGTCATGGATGCCAAGAAACCCTCTGCCAGTGCTACCAGGAAAATAAGCAGGAAAGGTGTGTATTACTTAAAAGATTAATTATATAGGACAGGGTAAGAATAAGTCTTTCTGAGTAGTATCATTTTTATTTTTTTAATCCTCTTTTCTCAGTTTCCTTTGTTTATGAACTTGAGAGAAAGTTGGAGCAATGTTTCTCTTCTGAATACATTGTCTTGGGAAAAAAAATATGCTGCCTATCTGGTGATGGTATTTGGAACTCACTAGAAAGGTGCTTTGCTGCAACTTGTGCTTGCCATAGTCTGTTACCTTGTTTCTACGGCATTCCAGCTAATAGCTACACATGCTGATGGCTGGCTCCAACAGTAGTATTACATTGGAGTGACCATCTAAATTTTTAACATTTCTTTAACTGGTTAACTTATTTTAATAGTTTCACAACACTCACTTTCAAGGATAAATGCCCTTATATTGCATTTTTAGAGTGATTGTAATCATGACAACAAGGCTATGAAAAGAGGAAAAATCATATTGTCTAATGCTACTTTTAGAACTTAAACCACTTATGAAAAAATGTGTTCCTATTTGCAGAGTGTGTTTTCCTCATCTCTGTTCAGCCCCTATGGTTAGTCGTAATTTAACTCATTTGGCATTCTCATAGGTTTTATATCAGGGGTTCTCAAACTGGGGGTTGTGAGCTGTCTGCTCGGTGGGGCTGACATCCCCGAGCCCCCATTAAATTAAATTAACCCCCCATTCTTAATTTATAGGGGGGGTCACAGTCAGAGGCTTGCTGTGTGAAAGGGGTCACCAATACAAAAAGTTTGAAAACCACTGTTTTATATTGACATGTCAGAGCAGCAAGAAAACTGGTTGGATCTCTATATTTCTCTGATTCAATCAACTCTCTCGGGCTTAATCATTCCCAGTTATGGTTTTTTCAATATTCTTTTAGAAATTTTATATGACGAACTAGTGCAATGATTTGCTTGAGTGTTTACCACTTACTCCTGGTAGCTTGAAACAGCTTGCTGGTGAAGAGAAGGTGATAACTTAAGTGCTATTCTTGAGCACTAATTGAACCCGAGGAGAACTGCATTCTAAACCACTCAGCCCTATGAGCCTTCTCTTCCTGCAGATGGTAGGTACCTAGAGGATTCCTTGGTTTCTGCTTCAGCCTCCAGGTCCTCCAGCCAAAATAAGTCACGCAAAGAGAAGTCCTCCCGCAGTCCTCTTCGAGCTACAACTTTGGAGAGCAATGTGAAAAAGAGTAGCCGTGTGGAATTTCGTGAACCCTTGGCTTCATACAGGTTAGTGCAAGAGAGAACTGACATTTACTGTGAAATACACAAACTGGAACAGAGCTGTTGCCAATGTTCTTATGAACACTTCAGGACTGGGTTTATTTTTTCTGCCAACAGGTGGAGAATGAACAAAACCTCTTGGTTTTAGATTGAGCAAGTATAATGTGTTGCGTAAGGGGCTTTATCATCCATTTACAGGAGGATGGACACAATGATCCAATAGGTCTCTTATGTCTTTAACTTCAGTGATAATCCCCCCAATATTTGGAATATCATAAAAGTGTTGTATTTGTTGCTGAAAATGCATTCTTGTTCTTCTCCTGCTTCTGCTAACCACCTATAGTAAAATAATATGCTGTAATTCTACTAATGTCTACTAAATCCAAGCATTTCATTCTTAGTATTGAGGCAAAACATTTGTTTTTAAAGATCAGGGAGCTATTTTAACTGGGATTTTTAAAGGGGTTTAAGTGGGTTAGGAACTCAAGTCCCTTAAACTGTTCTGAAAATTCCAGCTCTAATGATTACTAGTCAGTTCTTGTCATCAGGTTTGAAAATACCTTATTGTATGCTTCCTATCTTCCAGAAGCTAATTCATGGGAATTTGTTGGTATTTTCTTCCTACATAAATGAAAAGGTGATTAAGAAGTAATTCAATTTTGTCCACACTATTGATTGGTGCTTTAAAATGACAATGAAATAACTAGATTTTTTTATTACCTGTTTTTAGAATCCACCTTTAAAAGATTGAAACCAAAACTCCTACTATTTTTCTATGACAACTTGTTTAAAAGGCTGCCCTTAACAGAGCTGCCACTCTTTACCAATAGTTTAATTTTCTATACAGTGTACAGAATAAGCCAAAGAATCTTCTTCAGCACTGGTATTGCAAATGATAGCAGAAAGACTGAAATGTTTTATTTAACTGCTGAATTGCTGTTGCAAAGCCAGCAGAGAAAGTACAAAGCATTATTACAAGTCATAGGGAATTAGTAGCTATTTCTTAACTTCTTGGCAATGGTGATAGATTTTAAAAACAACTTTTCCTACTTTTGATTCATCTTAGAATCTTTTTTCTAATGTATAATATTGGTGATGTAGAAAGAATGTTTTCTATCTTGATACATTTTTTTCTTTGCTCTTTTGAGGACTTCGATTGATTGAGGACCAGCTCTTTTATTATTGCCATAACCAACAGAACGTGACACTTCATTTATTTTTGAACATCATAAGTAATGATAAAGTTTTTCTTGGCTGTTGTCATGTATTCGTGTAATTTAAATTTTTTAACTTCCTTGACATTTTACTTGTGGAATTTTTGCAACCTGTTAAGTCAACAAACAAGCTGGTAAACTATTGTATAAACTTAGAGTCTTTAAAGAAACACTTATAAAATTGCATAGGAGAGTATTGAACAGCAGGGGATCACTGACCCTATTGTAGGGAACACTCTGTCTTTCTGTCTGTCTCTCTCACATGCGCACGTGTGCAGAGAACCTTGCTGACTTTAAGAAAATATTGGTTGGGGGCAGTTGGAAGGTGTGTGGTGGGGAGAAATACTTAATGATTACAATGTACCCAAAAACCTAAAACAAGCTTGTCACTGCAGAGTTAGTTTGGTTAGTACTGAAGATTTCTGAGACTTATAACATTTCACCATAAGTCCTTCATTACTTTTTTTCTCAGTTTGTGGCAAACCTTGGCCCTAGTCATAATGAATGACTTGTTTAAATTGATAATGTGTAGGATTTTTTAAAGTGCGGAACCTCTGCCTAACTCAGATCCCACTGAAGTCAATGGTAAAACTCCTATTGACTTTGGTAAGAGTTGAATTAGGCCACCACTGACTGTTTTTTTTTAAATCCTACCCTTTATCTCTTTCTTTATAATGGGCCCAGCACCAATGTTATCTCAGTACCAGTAGAAATGAAACGTAAGCAAACATAGAACTTCTATCTTGCCTGCAGGCTCCTCATTCCAACTGTGGATTTTCCTCCTTGGCTACATAGGAGGCAGAGTTGGACCTGTCAGGCTGGGGGCTCTTTTGCTAATTAAACTGCTCTTGTTGTTAGTTCCCCATCTGGAATAATTCTTTCTTTGACATCAGTCGCTTGGTGTAAAAACAGTGTATCAAATGGTTTGACTTCAAATGCAGGGGGGAAAAACACGAGCAGATGAACTCTTATCAACCTAATATCATTTCTCATTCAAATATACTTAGATATAAAGAAATCTAAAGTACAGGAAATGAAAAAGACTAGCTTTTTACGTTGTGAAGATTGTAAGATCAAGTACTCAAGTCAGGGCATTCAAATTGTTATGCTTGTGCTGATAATGTTAATTCTGTCCTATTGCATGTCCTGTATACTTTTATGATATACATTACTAAGAGTGTGATACTTGAAGGTCTGTATTTAACAGGGGAAAGAGAAATAGAAAATGCTGTGTGTGTGCAGTGTTATGCACATGGCTTCAAAAAGCTCCCTTGAACATATACTTGCCCAAGGACTAAGCCTACTAGCCTAGATGAAAAATAGTGTCACCTCAGTACTCCTGCCATTGGCACATATTCAACCCCTCTTCTATAAACCTTAAATAAATAAATTCTGCCCTTATAGCGCACACACATCCTAGAATACTAAAAGAGCTGACTGGGATATCTGAGCCATCAGCAAATCTTCAAAAAGTCATGGAAGCAGGAGAGATTTTAGGGGACTGGAAAAGGGCAAATATAGTGCCAATCTATAAAAAGAAAACAAGGACAATCCAGGGAATTACAGGCCAGTCAGCTTAATTTCAGATAATGGAGCAAATAATCAATCAAATTTCAAACACCTAGAAGATAATAAAGTGATAAGTTAGTCATCATGGATTTGTCAAGAAAAATTGTGTCAAACCAACCTAACAGCTTTCTTTGACGGTAACAGTCCTTGTAGATGGGTGTATCTTGACTTTAGCAAGACTTTTGATACTGTCTCGCATGACCGTCTCATAAACAAACTAGGGAAATACAACCTAGATGGGGGGTGCATGATTGATTGGAAAACAGTTCATAGAGAGTAGTTACCAGTGGTTCACAGTCAAGCTGAAAGGGCATATCAAGTGGGGTCCCATAGGGATTGGTCCTGGGTCTGGTTCTGTTCAATATCTTCATTAATGATTTAGATAATGGCATAGAGAGTACACTTATAAAGTTTGCGGACGATACCAAGCTGGGAGGGATTGCGAGTGTTTTGGAGGATAGAATTAAAATTCAAAATGATCTGGACAAGCTGGAAAAATGGTCTGAAGTAAATAGGATGAAATTCAATAAGGACAAATGCAAAGTACTCTACTTAGGAAGGAACAATCAATTGCACACATACAAAATGGGAAATGACTGCCTAGGAAGAAGTATTGTGGGAAGGGATCTGGGGTCATAGTGGATCACAAGCAGAATATGAGTCAACAGTCTAACACTTGCAAAAAAAGCAAATATAATTCTGGGATGTATTAGCAGGAGAGTTGTAAGCAAGACACGAGAAGTACCGTATATATTTGTTCATAAGCCGAATTATTTTAGTAAAAAAGGGAAGCACCAGAGAAGGGGGTCGGCTTATGAACGGGTATAGAGAGGGAGAGGTGGGACACAGTCCCTCCCCCCAACAGAGGGAGCAAGAAAAGGCAGCACAGCCAGCAGAGACAGAAGGGAAGAGGTGGGGCCAGAGTCTCTCCGTTTCTGGCCACGCTGCTCTTTCCCCCAGCCTTCGAAGCAGCTGCAGCTCTGGGGCTGGGAGGGTGCAGCCATGCTGCTCAGCCCTGCCCCCCAGAGCAGGCTGTGGCCGTGCTGCCTGGCCCGCCAGAGCAGGCTGTGGCTGCGCCGCCCGGTCTGGTCCGCCGGAGCAGGCTGCGGCCGCACTGCCCAGCCTGCCGGAGCAGCTCCAGCCAGGCCAGAGACATCCTCCCAAGATAAGGTGGGAAGGGATGGGATGGGGAGAGTGTGGGGGTCCCAGGCTAGGGGTGGGGTCATGTGGGGGGTGGTCACAGGGGTTACTCCCCTGACTCCCAGCTTTCCCCACCCCCCAAAAAAAAATTTCCCCACCAGTTGCTGTCCCATTTCGTCAGGGTAAGCAGCTGGCACACCGGGACACTTTGTTTACTTAGGTTTACCTCTGTGCCTGCGGATGCTCAAGGTAAACAAACCATCTCGGCCCACCAGTGGCTTATCCTGATGGCCCGGGAGCCAAAGTTTGCTGACCCCTGAATTATAGGGTCGGCTTATGAACGGGTTATAAAATTTTTCCATTTTTACTTATCCATTTTGTCGGCTTATAAACGAACCGGCTTATGATCGAGTACATATGGTAATTCTTCTGCTCTATTCTGTGCTGATTAGGTCTCCACTGGAGTATAGTGTCCAGTTCTGAGCGCCATGTTTCAGGAAATTGGAAGAAGTCCAGAGGAGAGCAACAAAATGATTAAAGGTCTAGAAAACATGATGAGGGAAGATTGAAAAATTGGGGTTTTTTAGTCTGGGATAAAGAAGACTGAGGGGGGACATGACAACAGTTTTCAAATATGTAAAAGGTTGTTACAAAGAGGAGGGAGGAAAAATTGTTCTTGTTAATCTCTAAGGATAGGAGAAGAAGCAATGGGCTTAAATTGCAGTAAGGGAGGTTTAGGTTAGATATTAGGAAAAACTTCCTAACTGTCAGGGTAGTTAAGCACTGGAACAAACTGCCTAGGGAGGTTGTGGAATCTCCATCACTGAAGGTTTTTAAGAGCACATTAGACAAGCACCTGTCAGGGATGGTCTAGATAATACTTGGTCCCTGCTTTGAGTGCAGGGGACTGGACTAAAAGACCTCTCAAGGGCCCTTCCAGTTCTGTGATTCTGTAGATTTTTGCGAACAGGGCTGCTAACAGGGAGTTTCGAAAGGGAGTTCTCCAGGTGAAGGAGGAGCAAATACAGCACCCTTGGGGTAAGTGGCTGTCTGTAGTTTGTGTTTGGGGGTTACTTAGTGTGT